CCTCCCCCATATTTTGGGGTTCTGAAGGGTTTTGGGGGGTCTCAGGAGTTTTTTGGGCACTCCTCCATATTTTGGGGGTCCTGGGAGGGGTTCCAGGGGGGGTCTCTTCAGGGGGAGCTTTGACCTTCAAGCTGCTGGAAAAGAGGGAAAGGGGTGATGGGGGAGGGGTGGGAGTCTCAGCCCCCCCCAGAAACCCAGGGGGCCCCCCCCAAAGATTTTTGGAGCCCCCCCCCAAAACATACCCTGGTCAAAGTTGAGCTTCTTGGCAGGGGGGTCCCCAAATCCTTCGACGTCCACGAGGTCCCCGGGGGGGTCGGGGTCACCTGGGGGGGGCTCTGGGGGGAGGGAAAAGGGGGACCCCAAAATTAGTGGGGGGCTCCAAAAATTAAAAGGGGGGGGTCAAAGAGACCTCATAATTAAAAGGGAGGGTCAGAGGGACCTGAAACTTAAAGGGAGTGGGGTCAGAGGATCTCAAGGACAAAGGGAGGGGGGTCAGGGACCCCCAGGAGACCCCAAAAAATAAAGGGGGGGGGCTCCCCAAAACCCCTCAAACCAATTACCTGCCACCTTCTGCTTCTTGCTGGGGGGCCCAGGGGGGTCGTGGGGGGCCCCCCCTGAGCTCTGGGGGGGTCCCGTGGCCCCCCCCCCTTTCCTGGGCCCCTTTTTTGGGGAGTCGTGGCCGGGGGGGGGCAGGGGGACCCCGCTGTCCTCATAGGCCTTGCGCTTGGCCGCCGCCTTCAGCTGCGCCCTGGTGGGGGGGAGGGGTTTTGGGGTGAATTCGGGGGGTTTTGGGATTGGGGGGGGGGTACGGGGGGACCCCAACACCCCCCCCAAACCCCCCCCTTACACGGTGCGGTCCTTGATGAGGGCGCTGAGGCGGTTCAGGTCCTCCCCAAAACGGGCCACGGCCCCCCGGAGCAGGGACAGCTCCGGCTCCGTCCAGCGGGACCTGCGGTGCATTTGGGGGGGATTCACGGGATTTGAGGGGATTCTCTGGATTTGGGGGGGATTCACGGGATTTGGGGGGGCTCTAGAGGGGGTTTGGGGATGGTTTGGGGGGGTTTGGGAGCACTAAAGGGCTCACGGCCCATCCCCTGTAGCAGGGACAGCTCCTGCTCTGTCCAGCGGGACCTGTGTGGGGGAGTCCTGGTGTTTGGGGGGGAATTCCCAAGATCTGGGGCGGATTCCCGGGATTTGGGGGGCTCAGAGGAACTCTGGGGGAGATTTGGGAGGAGCTAAAGAGACCCCAACTCCCCCTCCCCACCCAAAATCCCCCAAATTCCACTCAAATTTTCCCAAATCCCCCCAGATCTTCCCAAATGCCCCCAAATTCCAATCTGATCCCCCCAAGACCTCCCAAAATCCCCCCACAGAGACCCCAAATCCCCCTCAAATCTTCCCAAATCCCTCCCAAAGACCCCCCGGACCCCCAGGCCCCTCACCCCGCGGGGGAGGTGTCGGTGCCGGGGTGCAGCTGCATCGTCAGCTCCCCCAGCCGAGTGAAGGCGGCGCCGGCAGCCGAGAAAATCTCCCCAACCTGCGACAACAGGGACACTGGGAGCACTGGGAGGCACTGGGAGGGACTGTGGGGGGACTGTGGATGATGGAAGGGAACTGAGAGGGATTGGGGGGACTGGGGATGATGGGAGGGGGACTGGGAGGGACACTGGGAATAATGGGGTGCAATGGGAGCACTGGGAGAGACTGGGTCAGGCTGGGAGCACTGGGAAGACTGGAAGAGACTGGGAGTGATGGAAGGGGACTGGAGGAGACTAGGATGGAGTGGGAGGGAGACTGGGGGTACCGGCAGCACTGGGAAAGGAACTGGGAGAACTGGGAGTGATGGGAGGAGGACTGGGAGGGACTGGAAATGACTGGGGCAGGGACTGGGAACACTGGAAGGGCACTGGGACCAGAACTGGGACCGGTGACCCCCTCCCCCCGGGCCCCAAACTGGTCCCAGTAGCCCCCGAACTTATCCCGGAACCCCCGGGCGGGGCCGCGTCGCCCCCGGCCGCCCCCCCGGGACGGACCCCCGCGCCCGGACCGGAAGTGCTCCCAAACAGGAAGTGCTTCCCCCGTTCCCATCCTGACCCCCCCCCAATTCCCCCCCAAAAAACCCAAAAGCTCAAAATCCCCCCCAAACGCCCTCAAATCCCTTACTTTGGTGCTCGCTGACGTCATCGCCGCCCGTCCCGGCCCCTCCGGCCGCCGCCGCCGCCGCTCGGGCTCCTCGATGGTGGCGGCGGGGGGAGGGGGACGCTCTGCCCCGCGCGTCTCGTTGGTAGCACCTCCCACCTCCCGCCGGGCCCCGCCCACCTCACAGCCTATTAGCTGGTTCAGCTCAAGCCCCGCCTACTCCCCGCCCACTTCCGCCTCCCTCGGCCGCTCCGCGCCGCTGTCTCGCTGCTCTGTGTCCTCCAGGACCCCCAAACCTCCCCAAACCCCCCCAATTCAGTAAATCGCCCCTAAATCCCCCTCAAATTCCCTCCAGGACCCCCCTAATCTCCCTGAATTCCCTCCAAATCTTCCCAAATCCCCCCGAGTTTCCCCCAAGTCCCCCTGAAATACCCCCCAAAGCCCCCTTCTTCCCCCCCTAAAATCCCTCCCCAAACCCTCCTTTTTTGCCCCCAAAGCCCCACTTTCTGTCCCCAAAACCCCCTCAATCTCCCCCAAAATCCCCCTTTGCCCCCCAAAAACCCGCATGACCCCCCCCTTCCCCCCTAAAAAAAAACACCACCGCTGGGGGAGGGGGGCGGCACAAAGACCCCGCAGTTTTTATTGGGAGAACTGGTTCCAACTGGGTGGCACTGGCACAAAGTCGCTCCTTTCGGGGGGGTTGGGGGGGAAGGTTTTGGGGTATTTTGGGGGGAGGTTCGGGGGTCTCCTGCCCCGGGAGGGGGTCTCTCAGCGCACCATGTACTCCTTGCGCTTGTTGAGGCGCCCCTGGCAGAGGGAGAAGCCCCCCAGGAGCGCGTAGAGCCCCGCGGCGATGAAGCAGTTGTAGCTGACCTGCTCGAACAGCCCGTACAGCCGCTCTGGGCCACTGCAGGAGGGCGGGGGGGGAGTCAGGGAGGGGGAAATCCCCCAAATCCCCCCAAAATCCCCCTCAAATGCCCATGAATTCCAACCAAATCCCCTCGAATTCCACCCAAATCCTCCCAAATCTCCCAATCCCCCCTGGTTTCCACCCAATTTTCCCCCCAGAAAACCCCCCAGCTCCCTCCAGGACCCCCCAGATCCCCCCAAAATCCCCCTCCAGGCCGCACTCCTTGAAGTCCTTGCTGGTGAAGGGCATCAAGTTCCCCCCAAATCCCCCCAGGACCCCCCAAAATCCCCCCCTGGGCCTCACTCCTTGAAATCCTCGTCGGTGAAAGGCACGTCCTCGATGAGCACGGCCGAGTGCACGTTGAAAAAGATCCCCAGCAGCACCTGGAGGGCAAACTGGCCATACTGGGGGCACTGGGAGAGCACTGGGAGTGATGGGAGACAGACTGGGAGCACTGGGAAGGCACTGGAAGTGATGGGAGGGGCACGAGGGGCACTGGGAGCACTGAGTGGATCGGGATATTGGGGATACTGGGAGCAGTGGGGGTGGGGGCACTGGGGGTGACTCATGGGCAGCTGAGGGGAAGTGGGGGGGGGGAGGGGGGAGAGGGGCCGGGAGCCACCCAGAGACCCCTCCCAAACCCCCCACATACCCCATAGGACCCCCCAAAACCCTCCCGGATCCTCCCAAGACCCCCAAGGCCCCTCCCAAACCCCCTTTCAACCCCAAAGGGACCCCCCTAGGATCCTCCCAAGCCCCTCCAAGACCCCCAAACCCCCGCAGACCCTCCCAAGATCCCCCCAGGACCCCCCCAAGCCTCACAGGGATGCCTCCGGGTCCCTCCCAAGACCCCCCCCAGGACGCCGCAAAACCCCCCTGGACCCTCCCAAGACCCCGCAACACCCTCAGGACACCCCAAAGACCCCCAAACTCCCTCAGCCCCCCTCCAGCCCCCCCCAGCCCCTCTCACCAGCATCACGACGCCCCAGGCGCTGAGCACCAGCCCACAGGCCGCCATCTTGGGCCCGCAGCAGAGCAGCGACACCATCGCGGGCTCCGCGGGGGTTGGGGGGTCTCCAGGTGTGTTTTGAGGGGGTTCCGGCCGGTTTTGGGGGTGTTTTTAGGGGGGGGTTCGGGTTTTTGGGGGGTGGGGGGGGTGTCTGGCGGAGCGCGGAGCTCCCGGAACGTCTGAGCGCGAGAGGCCACGCCCCTAAGCGGGGCCACGCCCCCTTTCCTTATAATTAGCTTGGCTATTTGAATAACCGCGCCCCCGCCTGTAAGCCACACCCCCCGGCCAGGCCGCGCCCTCTCGGGAGGTTCCATTCAAGCCAACGGCGGGGGGGGGGCGCGAAACGGAGGCGCTGATTGGCTCTGGCGCCGGGTTTGGCCACGCCCGCGCCACCCACGTGTGTCGCCCGTGTCCCCTGAGTATCCCCTGGGTGTCCTTTATGTACCTGTAACCACCTGTCCCTGCCGGTCCCTGCCTGTACCTGTGCCAGCCAGGTGTCCCCCCCACCCCTTAGTGACGTCACGCGTGTCCCCTGGGTGTCCCCTGAGTGTCCCCTGGGTGTCCCTTGGCCGCCTGTCCCTTCCTGTCCTCACCTGTCCCCTCCTGCCCCTTCCGCTCTCTTCCCGTACCTGTCCCAGCCCGGTGTCCCCCCACCCCTCAGTGACGTCACGCGTGTCCCCTGGGCGTTCCCTTAGGTGTCCCCTGGGTGTCCCTTGGCCACCTGTCCCCACCTGTCCCCCTCCTGTCGCTGCCCGTACCTGTGTCCCCCACTGACATCACGCTTGACGTCACGCGCGTCCCCGTGTCACCCCCGGAGGGGGTCCCTCT